GAATGAATGAGATGTGTTATTTGCATAAGAGAATGTGTGTGTAACCAATCAGATTCTTTCTAGTGTCAGCCTATAGCAGGGATGGAGACTCAAGTCCTGAGACTCGCTGTCAAGATGGACTTAAGTCGCGCCACCGACTTGACTCAACTCAGACTCAACTTGAAGTTTGTTTGGATTTGTTTTTTCAGTGACTCGGGCTGGACTTGCAACCCACCAAAACTCTCTTTTTTCTGGGGAAAGCTTGTTTTTAATAGGAACTAGGATTTGCGGCTTGGGACTTGGGGCCAACGGTTTGTCCACATCCCTTTCCTAAAGGTGCTTAAAAAGGTTAAATGTCAGAGATGAGAAAAAGGGACAGTTAGCATGAGGCTTTTCTGTCGATAAATTTAGTTTTCAGTTAAGACTGTTTGCTGCTAGGTGCCGTCTGAGAAGTGCCTCTTATGAAGCTGTCAAGCACAAACCAAATTGTATTCTTTTATCTGCAAGTACACAAATATATGTATCAAAGGAGGATATTATTCATGATCTGTGTGCTGCTTTTATGCTCACTCTTAATCTGCTGTGTCCAAACCCTCAAAAATTTCAACAACCTCTAGGCATGTTTGGATTAGATGATCCATCATTCCCAGAGCAAATAAACCCAGCACAGCTATGGCACGCTGTTGGGGAAGATTGGCCTAGTAGTCTAAAAACTGAATTGAGAAATTATTGGTTCAGTTAATTAAACTACATGCTAGGATCTTTATCTCCAGTCATTGCAACAATGCTATGAATTCATTTGAACAAGCTAAGATACTAATGGCCTTACCTTCTTCATCTGAATTACAGGTACAATAATACCAATACTAACCTTTTCAATAATGTAAAAGTCAATATGGAAGCACAGGTGTTTGTCACAGAAATCCCCTTTAATACCTTCCATAAGAATGATCCAAACAATGCAGGTAGCCTGACCAACCCATATCAACAATTGAGGTGCAAGTCTTTCCTAAAGCTAGTTGCTCTTAATCACCTATTCAAAACTTTTTCTGGTACAGATACTTTGTGTTGTTATAATAAAGAAGGCTTGCAACTACGGTATGTAGTATTCCTGGCACAATCTATAACCCTCCTAGCAACTTAGAAAATTGTGGCTAAATTCTGAGGGGAAAGGGAAAACCGGGGGGGGGGGGCTGATGATGTCAAACTTTAAGTCCACTAAACCACTGCCAACTTTACAGGGTTGTCACGTTGTGAAGCGACATGCTTTGAGCTCACAAAAATAGCCCTTGGGTTACTCAGGAGTTTTGGACTGCAACTCCCAGAAGCCTTCACCACCAACTGTGCTGGCTGGGGTTTCTGGGAGTTGCAGTTCAAAAATATCTGAGTAACAAAGGTTAAGAACCACTGCACTAAACCACTGCCAACTTTACAGGGTTGTTGTCACGTTGTGGAGCGACATGCTTTGAGCTCACAAAAATAGCAATAAAAATTGTGAGTGTCAAAATGATACCAGTGTTCGATTGCTTCTACCAAGCCAGTTCTTCTAGGCTGGCTGAAAATGTTAATGTGGACAAAACAATAAGCACGTAATTTCTGATTCAGTGGCAAATCCATCATCTTGTGTTTCATCATCTCTTTTTCTTTTGGGCATCTTAAATATTAGGAAGATCTTCCTGACAGTGGGAACTGTTCGACTGTAGGGCAGATTACTTTAGAAGGTGGTGGATTTTCCTGGAGATCTTAAACAGAGGTTATGGGACCCTCTGTCAGAGCAACCTTACCTGTAGATTTCCCGCCTGAGTATCCTCTGTACTAGATCAGTGGTTAAGTAATACCTAGTGCTCAGAGTTGAGAAGTCCAGAGCTATGAATGAGTGGGATATAGATGTGTTTCCACACAGTGGGTCTCTTCCTTGGTGTCTATAGTAGAAATTGTTAAAAGTACTGTATGGTCTTTCTGGTGAAAACGAGTCGGAGAGCTGGTGTGTTCCTGTTTTCCTTCCTGCCAGATAGCAACAGCAGCTCAACCTCTCAGGAAAAGCTTCATTAAAAGGGCCAGGTTGTCTGAAAACCCCGCGATCAAGGGAGGAAGAGAGAAGCGAACGAATGGCATATCTGAGCCTCACAGACTTCCCTGAATTGTGCTGGAGGAAAGCCATTAGGTTTGCCTCGCAGTGCAAAGGCTGAATAGATACAATGGGAAGAAGGGAAGGCAACTGTCGATGTGTTTCGTCTGTTGATGTTGGTTGCTGGCAGACTTTGGGGCCGCACCAAATCCTCCATTTGCCTGCTAAATAGTTCTGTGTAGAGAGAATAACAATAAAAAGAGCCCAACCAATATATGCTAAGGGTGTTAAAGCAACAGATCTTTCCTGTTCTGAGGAATTTTTATCCATGTTTGATCAATCAGAGGCCATGGAGGAGGAATGTCAGAAACCTTCACTCCTAGTGTCTGCTTTTCTTTAATGTAGTTCTCACAGCAGGAACCAAAGTTTTGGGAGAAATGCCACATATTCAGGATGGTATAGTGTATAGAGTGATGGATTCACTGGGTTTGAATCCTCACTCAGCCATTGAAACTCGCTGGGAAGGTGGAACTGGTAAAGCCACACCTTAAATATCCCACTTACATTGAAAGCCGTATTAAAATCATAGGTCAGTTCCAACTTGATGGCATATCATAGCATCCAACCAGCACTTACGGGATGTGCTCATCTGGTAGATGATGGATGTGGAATGTGGGGCCTTCAAGATTCTTGGACTACAGTGCCCACAATCCCTTACCATTGGCCAACATCGCAAAGGAAATTGATGGCCAACATAGGTGTTGTATTTAATATATCTTTCCATTAGTTGCAGAGGAAGTTGATGGCCAACATAGGTGTATTTAATATATCTTTCCATTAGTTGCACTTCTGTCTTGCATTTCACCACTGAGTTCAAGGTGGCCGACATGACTCTCCTTTCCTCTCACTCTCCCCTCACAACAACCCTCTAAGGTGGCCTCATAGAGCAATGCAGCCAGATCTCCTCATTTCTGACCCAACCAACGGCATTGTGTTGTCACTGACCATATCCGGCGCCTACTGAACTGTTCATGGGCTTCAGATCCCCTTCTTAAATATCACTGGGTTTAAAATAAAAAAATCTTTTTTTCCTAATGCTGACACCTTTCGCTTGTTCTCCATTTAGCATGACGTGCTGAAAAAAAAATCTTTTTTTCCTAATGCTGACACCTTTCACTTGTTCTCCATTTAGCATGACGTGCTGCAACATTTTATTGCAGTGTCTCCCTTATTTGTTTCTTGGCCTCAGTTTTGATGGTTGGAAACCGGGGACCCTTGCAAAATTGTAAGAATGTTTGTTGCTTTTTATTTTAAAATATTAATAAAGGAACTGAGCACATGCTGTCTTGTGTCGTATGACCTTCCTCCTTCGGAAGCTCCAGTTTTAATTGCCTGGTGGGAGCTGTCATCAGAGGAGAAACCCTGAAATTTCCCCCCAGGACCCTGGCGACAGGTTATCATAAGTAAACATTGCAGGATGGGTTCAAGCAGTGCCAAAAGCTTATGTTGCCATAGCAACGGGCCTTTGCCCTCTTTCCTCAGGGGCCAGCCTAAGCCCATCTAGGATGCGAAATAATGGACCCAATGCCAAGGGCGTCAGGATCCGTTTCCTCAGCTCCCTCAAACTATTTCATTTTTGCACCAGGCTGTTCTGCACACCTGTGTTATTCTTCTCTTTCTAGCCCTTTCAGTGTCTACTCCATCTTCCTCCTATTCCACATGATACGTTGAATTTTTGACCGTGTGTGTGTGTGTGTGTGTGTGTGTGTGTGTGTTTTATTTTAAAGGGAGGTTCTACAGATGCATTTTTTGCTCTTCTGTGGTAAAAAGCAGCCACTCCTGTGTTCGTGGCAGGGCTGCTGTATGTTTTAATAACAGGCCTGAGGGGCATTGAGAAACTCAAGACAAATTGATTTCTTTCCCGTATGGCAGCTGGGCAACGGTGGTAGGAAACCTTGCCTATTGAGTGTCTAATGACTGCATCAGCTCAGTGCACCTGTTAACGGTAGAGGAGCCTTGCCAGACGAAAGAATGGCAACCCTATTAAATAGGATGTGAAATGAGGTCTGAATCTCAATAAACCTGAACCCAGTTTCATACCATTTTCCCTAGCGAACAGTTCTATGGGAACTCAAGAGCTGGCCTTCTTTGTCACTTAATAAAGGTATTTCCTAACTCAGAACTTTAGTCCAGTTAAACATTGTTATTGAGAGGAGGCAGAAGAGAAAATAAACGGTCTGAAGAAAAGCACATCCCAAAAGGGTCTCATCTGTAGTGATTGTAGGTGGAAGTAGGGAGGTGGTTCAAGATGCAGCATCTTCCGCTTTTGCTCCAGCCAGCAAAGTTTAAGGCAGAGCTGGGGGTGTTGCAGAGTTTTGAATTTCTGGTAAAATTCATTTAGTTGTGCAGCAGAAGTGGGAGGGATTCATGGAGCAGAATAGCTTCAAATCCCCCAGATTAGTATACCCCTTTCCTCATTAACTGGCACTTATAGTCTCAAAAACTCACACTCACACATTAGTAGTAGTAGAGAGAGAATAAAAATGTTTCATTTACTTACAGTGAACAGATCAAACACGCAAACATGACTGCTTTCAACAACAGACTTCAACGGACTCTATAGAGGTAAAAAGCACTGAGCAGATAGGTGGGCTCTCTTAGAATTAAGAGGTAGGGAAGGAATGATTGGTTAGTGCTGGATAGACTGACAGTCACCCCAACCCAGAAAGATCCCTCTCAGCCAAACCTAGTAAAATCAGCGTACAAGGATGCAGAAACTCTGACTGGAGGAACCTTTGGCCCTTCAAGTATTGAAGTACTCTTTCCAGCATGCCTGGCTATTGGCTGGGTTTTCTAGGGATGATGGGACCTGGATTTCTACAAGACAGGAATCTTTCCCCCCCTCTCTTCTAGCCATGAATGTGACTATCCTTTTTTTCTTTTGTCTCCTCAGAACAACAGGGATGGATCTCTGGACCTTTTTGCCTCTCTGTGGGATCATGATAGTATCTGCTGTTGCGGGTAAGGTTGAAAGAAAAGGAAGAAAATCCATTAAGTGCATGTTCTGATTTTATGGGAAGCTTGTAAACCATAGCTTCTAGGAATCTGTACTACTTGCTAGGAAGGAAGGAGGGAAAGCGGAGACAGAAAATATGCTGAGTTATATGGGATGTGCATGTATTGACACTCCATTCCCCCCTTTTAAGGACTTTCATGCAATTCTTTATTCTACAAAACTCATTTAGTTTTGATCTCAGCTATTGCATTTTGTATATTCTATGTTTACATTTGTATGTTTAATAGTTCTTTGTTGGTCCAACTCTTGATCCAAGAAATTCTTCATATCTTACAAGGAATCCAAACTTCAGATGCTTCTGTTTATTTTAAAGTTCCTGCATTAAAGTCCAAGATTCCAATTTATACAATAGCACTGAAAATACACAGCACTGAACTGTGCACATTCTCAAAGACAACTTTAAGTTTTTGTTGCATATTGTAATCTTAATCTTAAAGATTCTGCTCTGTCACCTCTATTCTACTGTAATTCTTAACTCTTATTGTATGGTTGTTGTGTTTTTTCCTGGCTGTTTGGCCATGTTCTGAAGGCTTTTCGCATAATTGCTAACTCTTATTGTATGGTTGCTGTGGGTTTTTCGGGTTGTCTGGCCATGTTCTGAAGGTTGTTCTTCCTAACATTTCGCTCAACGCTGTGGGTTAAACCACAGAAGCCTCTGTGCTGCAAAGTCAGAAGACCTGCAGTCGTAAGATTGAATCCATGCGTCGGAGTGAGCTCCCGTCACTTGTCCCAGCTCCCGCCAACCTAGCGGTTTGAAAGCATGCTGGAGAAACATTAGGAACACAGCCAAAGCGCCCGAAAAACCCACAACAACCATTGAATCCCGGCCGTGAAAGCCTTCAAGAATACATCTTATTGGATGGCTAAGGACCATCTTTTAAGGTACTTAGATTTGTCAAAGTGGTCAACACATTGATTTTAAATCATTGATGCCATTTCTTGGACTACTTGCTTTCTACTGATTACCATCAACCTGGTTTTCTTAATACAGTATTTATTTTTAAGGTTCAAAGGTCTTTGGACCATTCCGATTGATTATTTCACTGACTTTATTCATTAGCATTTTAACATTGCAGTCAGTACCTTCTCAATTGTCCTCGAGGTGTTAGATCAACTTAGACGTGTTTAATGAGCCCTGTTTTTCCTGATTAACAAAAGATAAAGTACAAATTAATTGAGCATAGTTGTAGATCAAATCAAGCCTGATTCAAATAGAGTCTGAACTGGAGGAAAAAAAATATATTGACACTGAGGCTGTCCTACTTTGGGAACATCACAAGAAGAAAGGATATTCTGGAAAATACAATAATATTGGGAAAGGTGGAAGGCATCAGGAAAAGAGGAAGACCGAATACAAGACGGACTGACTGCCTGAAGAAACTCAGAGGCTTGAGTTTGCAAGAGCTGGATCGGGCTGTTGAGGACTGGACATTCTGGAGATTGCTCATTGACCATAAGTCAGAGACAACTTGACAGCCCATAACATCGAGAGTTGTGAAACATGTAGAAGAGTCTTGTTCTTCAGACCCTTAATGTATTTGCAGTTCTGGAACACCATGTCTTCTCTGCATTCAGCAACGATTTAGGAATGTAAACATTAAGGTGCTCATCCTGGTCTTAACCAGTCTTCCTATAAAAGGATTTTCTAGGAGGAAAAATGATATCTGTATTAATTTGTTAGATTTGCATCCCATCCTTTCTTCACTGAGAAAGCATCACAGCTTAGAAAATAATCTTTTGAAAACAATATGTGTAATGATAAGGCCGTAGCCATCCATAAAAGAACTATGGTAAGATGCTTGAGGACTCAGACATGCTCACATTGCTCAGTAATAGCTAGTTTCAGTTTGTCCTTATATTTAATTGTCCCTAAATATCTTTCCAAGCTTTAATACTTACATAGCCTTTCCCATTTTTCTCCTCACACCAACCCAGTGAGGGTAAAACAGAGTTGTAAGATTGAGGAATCCTCCAGACCAAACATTTATCTTTTGCATGCCTGGTTCAACCATGATCTTACTGGTCGCGTTTTCTGCCAGCCACATGACACTCCTCCTGCCTCACTTAGTACAAGGACATTTTCCACATCTCTCCATACTTTTTTGTCCCTCATGGTTTATTTTTAGCATGACTTTGTTCCAGGCAGCAATCTTTAGCACCATGGTGCTCTCAAATGAAGTTGATGGTACCTTCCTCTTTGGAAGCTTTCACTTAACACTCAAACAGTCAAAAAAGCCTCAGAAGAGAAGGGCCAGCAGAGAAGTAGAGTTCTTAATAATTAAAAAAAGAGAGATTTCTGGAAGAGAAACGGTTTTTCTCAAAAAGAAGGAAAATGGCTTTTTAAAGGGGACTTTGGACACAAAGGCCATTAAGCAATGTGCTCCTTCACAGCCAAGTGGGAGAAGGGGGTGGAATGAAACTTTTTTTGCCTGGAATTGCCCTGAGAGATAGCATTTCATCACCGCTTCTTGCACCTATTCAGACTAGGCAGGGTCTGACTAGACTGGATTGAGCTGGGTTTCTGCATTTGTTTTCTTCTTAGTGGCTATTTTTCCTTGCTCTCCTCCACTACAGCTGGTGAATCTCTGCAGATCATGCATTGGAAATTAACTCCAAAGGACAGTTATCGCCTGCTGTATCTTAGTTTGGAACGTTTCTGTGTCAGCAGGCTGCCTCCTGTCAGGAGCCACACTCGCTGTCTGGGTTTTGATGAAAAATTGGTCTGACCTGGTATAGCCATTCTAACTCAATTCATCTAATCTCCAGAGGAAACCATGGACACCCTCCTAAGGGCCCTTATATCTTGAAAATTTCCTCATCAGCATGGGATATCGGCTTTGTATAATATTATAGAACACTGTATATACACTGGGGTATACACAGATATAACATTACTGGAACAGCTGCCGGTCGGATTTCAAAAGATCTCCTGTATGGAGAATTAGTGCATGGAAAGCGCCCCAGAGGGAGACCAGAGAGCTGTGATACAAGTAGATCTGCAAGCGGGATCTGAGGGCCTTAGGAATGGACCTCAACAGATGGGAAACCTTGACCTCTGAGCATTCAGCCTGGAGGCAGGCGGTGCGGCATGGTCTCTCCCAATTTGAAGAGACACTTGTTCAGCAGGCTGAGGCAAAGAGGCAGTCACGAAAGCAGCAAAATCAGGGAGCTGGACAGGGGACAGATTGTATTTGTCTTCAGTGTGGAAGGGATGGTCACTCTCGAATTGGCCTTCTCAGCCACACTAGACACTATTCCAAGACTTCCATTCAAAGCACATTTCCATAGTCTCTCGAAACTGAAGGATGCCTACAGTACAGATATAAACATATTGAAATGGACTCAAATTCATTCATATCATGAATACTGTATTATCTATTATCAATGCTGTTGACACTATAAAAAGAATAATAATCATATGCCATCAAGTCAGTTCTAATTTATGGTTATGCTTTTTAGGGTTCTCTAGGTAGAGAGTACTCAGAAATGGTTTACCACTCCCTTCTTCTGGGGCCATCCTGGGACTGTGCAGCTTGCCCAAGGCCACACAGGACGACTCTTTTCTTGGGAGGAACAGCGGGGAATTGAACTTGCAGCCTCTGGCTCTGGAGTCAGATACCTAAACCGCCGAGCTATCCGAGCAGTTGTGTTAACACTATAGACGGAAGAGAAGCCCTTTAAATAAATGCATAAAATTAAATGGTTGACTGGGAGCAGGTTCTAAAAGGTCATTGTTATCATCAATTGCGTCTCTCCATATGTGTGTGTCTCTTTCTTTTTCAGAGCCACCAGTACCCAAGGACGTCCCTAACGATCCCTTCCATTATGGTGAGATAACGATATCTAGGAGCTTTCCGCAGGGTCATAAATGTGTGGCAAAAGCAGAACCCCTCTTGCAAAGCTGGATGTACTAGAGCCGTAGCCAAGAGTGACAGATAAACGGGGGCTCTAGTTTCACAACAGTAACTAAAGCTGTTGCGGCTTTGCTGTCCCTTACTGCTGATGCCATAGGTGTTTAACCTGGTCCATAGGGCAAAGACAAGGAGCATGTGCCTGTCCGGACACAGTTCTTGTGATGCTTCGTCATTAGTTATACAGGCTAAGACTTATGGGATTTGTAGTCTCACAATCTCGGGAGTGCCGCATCTTCTCCTTAGGGCCAAAAGGGTGTTTGTGGAAAGAGAAAAATAAGCTTTATTTCAGTGATGGAGTGGTGTGACGTGGCATTAAAAAAAATCTGGAAAAATTTCATTCATCTTGGTGTGGGATGATGAAGCAGGGGTGGGTTTTGCTTCTGTGTTCTTGATGGGGATATAACTTAGAAAAATATGTTCTTGAAGCATTAATGAGATGCTTCGATCAGAATCTTATCACATGTTTACATCCATATTAATGTCTTCAATGTAAATTTCAGAGGTGAACTGCCACCTCTTAAGAAGCTATGCAGCTGCTACGTAATAAGAAAAACCAGACTTGATTTCTTAACTGAATGAAATTTATACCATAACTGATGCCATACTGGTGTGAATTTGTATTTGTCATATCAAAACCTGAGCAGATTTTTCAAAAGTAGCTTCTTTGGACCACAACTCCCAGAATCCCCAAGCTAATATGGCCACAGTGTTTATGTCTGAGACCTCTACTGGCCCAAAAGGCCAGTTTTGCATGGCTGTTTTCTGGCTATTTCCATTGTCCATTTTAAGCAGATTTTCCCAATCTGACTGGCTAAAATCCTGTTCCGCAGTCATGCAAGTCGTATCATGTTTGAAAAGACATTGCAGAAATTAAGAAATCTTGTTAGACATTATCTGTTGCTTTCTGAATCACACAACTTGGCAGGCCACAGTTAATGTCTACTGAGATTTCTTAATTTGCAGCGGTTTAATTTACGCCATAACTGCACGACAGGATTTCACCCGCTGGCTGACTATGTTGAACTCTGTCTCCCATTGTCCTTGGCTAGGGATGGGAGAAGTTGAAGTCCAAAATATGTGCAGGGTGCTTGGTTGGGGGAAGGTTATCCCAAGGGTTTTGAAGTAGGGAGACAAATATGTGTCACAGAGGAAACTTCAAGCCCTACAAGGCCTCCAGGTGGTCAGGAATCTGCATTAAAACAGAAAACAACAAACAAACAAAACTGAAAGTTGGTTGTTGGGGTTTTTTCGGGCTCTGGCCGTGTTCTGAAGGTTGTTCTTCTGAAGGAAGAACAACCTTCAGAATACAGCCCAAAGAGCCTGAAAAACCCACAGCAACCATTAGATCCCGGCCGTGAAAGCCTTCACAAATACATAAAACTGGAAGTGTCCATGTGACCACTGGCTGTGAAAGCCTTCGCGAATACATAAAACTGGAAGTGTCCATGTGACCACGTTCAGTTCTACGTTTTTGATTTGGGGAATTCTTCTAGCCTCACTCGCCAAAAAAAACAAAACCACACTACTTCTGGAACCCTCCAGGAGTAACAATGTCACTGGAGGGACATTTTGAGGGTACCTGGGAGCCCTAAAAATTCCATGGAGGGGCCACAGTCTGACAGAACTTTATTCTTTCTTTCCAGACTATGAGTCGCTGAGAATTGGAGGTCTGGTATTCGCAGTTGTGCTGTTCCTGCTCGGAATCCTCATTATACTTAGTGAGTAGGAGCACCCTCAATATTCACCAATTATGCCAACTCAGGGCTGAGTTGTGCCTGAGCCGTGTTGCTGGGCACATGTCTTTAATACAGTACATCGACAGAATGTTGGTTTGTGGGAAGATTGATCAGGGAGTGGATTTCAGAATTTCCAGATGTAAAGCCGAACCATTTCTTCTGTTTCTTCTGCCATTATAATTACATCCACTCATAGCAAACCCAACTGCTGAGCTGTACTGCGAGTGTTGTAGCCAAAGTAAGGCTGTGGAGGACCCCAACTGTATGTAACAGAAGCAGTATGTCCTTAGGAGCATAAATCTGTTGTTGTTCCATAGAGGGGATCCAGGTAGACCCTTGTGGCAGAGCAATCGCTTTTTGCAAATGAAGTCTGTTCTTTCCTCCCAGTGACCAATCACAAAACAAAGCAGGCTAATTTGAAAACTACAGGAGGTGCAAAATAACCACCAGTTATTTTCAACATGTAAGGAATTCCTTTTCTAATTACAAGTTGTTACATATTTTGACTTGAGAAACAAGACAGGAGTGGGGGAAGAAATGTTGATGTTTGTAGAAGCAAAGAAACATTTTAGGGAGGGAAATATCATAAAAAATAGCCTGGCTCCCACCTACCCACCCAAAACCAGCTTGCCAATAAGAGTGTTCAATAGCCACAGAATATTGTCTTTGTGGGAAAGGATGGAAGGAAAACTAAATGGCATCAAAGGTGCATGACTGGCTAGAATAGGGAATGGCTGATGAAACTCTGAGCAGGACAACTCTCATATAACACTCTGTCACAAGACTCATGGTAGCCTTGTGTAGGCTTGATTTTTAACTTACTGGCCTGTTTAGCCCATTGATGTAGACTTTGTGGCTTTGAGATCTCAGTCTTCTTTGAGTCAGTGTGCTTCCTGACATCACCAGATACTAGAGACCGGGCCCAAGGGCCATCTCCATGTGCTTGACCACAGAGCTGTGGGGCCTTTCTAATACAATCTCTTCTCTGTTCTTGCCGCTAGTCAGTGCTCCTTCCCCAGAAGTCGGTTGGAGAAAATGTGTCTTAGCGTCCAGAGTGCATCTAGACTACACAGCTGTATCCATCTGCAACTTTAAGTGCCATGTTCCCATATTTTCAATCTGGGGGTTTGGAGTTTGGATTTCACTGCTAGTGATGGTTAGTCCACTTCTCTGAACCACAGCAGAGAATTCTAACTTGCTTGCCCAACTCCAGGTCCCAGGAAACGGACATGATATTAAACCACTATAACCTTGTAGTGCCAATATGCTCTCATGGTCCAGTTCTCTTTCTGGCTAGCTGTACATGGCGTTTTTCTCTTTCTTACCTAGGTCGACGTTGCCGTTGTAAGTTCAACCAGCAACAAAGGTAACACCTTCCTTTCAACAATCTTACTTTGTTGGCTGGTGTGGTGTAGAGGCATTGTTATATATAGCCGCAGTTCTCAATCAGTGGCATTACTGACTGAAATGCAGGAATATTCTAAGTGGGACGAGGGTTTCTCATAGCAATTATTAAGAATCTGTTCTCCAGCAAATTTGATGCCATCTCCCTACCAGCCTTACTTGTCCTGGGTATAAATCTAAATATAATATTTATATTTATACGTTATATTTACATACTGTAGTATACAACCTGCAACCTACAAAGGTGATTTTCTGTCACAGTGGAAACCCTGTTATTTGACAGAATGATTGGCAGGATGTAAGACAGGAAAGGATACCCAGTGTGATGTCATGGACAGTGTGACCCCTGAGTACCAGGACTCAGGAGTCCTGGGTTCAAATCTCTGCTCAGCCATGGAAACTCACTCGGGGTGTGGAACTTGTAAAACCACTCCTTAAATGTCTCAGGTTACTTGGAAAGCCCTATTAGGGTTGCTGTAAGTTAGTTCCAACTCGACAGCACACAACAACAACAACAACAACAAACAATACAGGAAAGGTTTTTTTAAAAAAAGTTTTAATCTTTATTGCATTTAAAAAAGAAATTATAAAAATAAATAAACAATTATCACAATATCAGCACATAACCAAAATAACTTTCTATCATCTTTTTGCAAAACAATAAGTCTTTAACATTTTTACTTCCTTATTTTCCACCAGACATTTATTTTCTTCGCAA